TACAAGTCAACATTTAAAAAAAAAAAAAAAAAGGACATTTATTTTCTTTACTGAATCAAGCAAGGCATCTTACACTGACAAAAACTTGCTTTTAGGAACAATTATTTACACAAGCAATAGCTTTGAAAACTGTGCTGTAAATTTATGACTTTTAAGGACCCAACAATGCATGAAGTACACCTGGGTAAACATAACATAAACAAAACTATGGCAAAGGGATCCTTGTTTCATTTTAGAAATCCTCTTCCGGACAGAAATTAAGATTTACCTCTGCTGCAGTTATTTATTGTAGAGAGTGAATGTGTTCAGCTTGTAGTACTTTTATATTTACAAAAATCCTCTTTATAAGCACCAGCTTCATCATATCATCCCTTAACACTTACCAACTGAAAAAAAGCCAGTCCCCTGAAACATTCAGGGTTCTTTTTTCTCACAAGAAAAACAACATGTGGAAGTTGAGGAATTGTTGCTAAAACTAGCTGGCAAGAGAGCTATCACAAACCAACAGAAATATCTGTATTGCAGGACCTAATCCCCCCAGGAACTGGATGCAAGATCTGTGAAGCTAATGACAAGAAAACGTTTCCTGAATTCCACCAAGAACTGAGCAACTTCCTGAAATCAATGCTAAAATAATCAGACAACCATTTTTATTTTTACTGCTACACTATTTATTTGAATATTTAATTATGATTAATTTATATATTTTGCCCTTTGGCTTGCTAGCTTGCTGTCCGTTTTGGGACCACTACGTTCTTAGTCTGGGTGAGAAGACAGGCTGTTCTACGATCACATTTGATCCTTCCTGTAAGCCCTACGGGCTTAACGTGTACTTTGGAAAACCAATCGGTTCTCACTTTGTCAGTAAACTTAGAATAACAACTATTTATTGATAAAACCTATTAAAAGTTACTTGTAGTTGATATGTAATAAAAGTCGGTGACATAAAAATCATGTCTAGAGTCTTCTTTGTTAAGTGATACTCTTTTTCCCTGGCGAGTTTATTACTTTTATTTAACACAATTTAAAGAACAAAGCAAACATTTACCAATATACAAGCATACAGGTACCAGACTCCAAGCAGACACCTGCAGGTAACTTGCCTAAAGCAACAAAAAATACCAGTTTATGCTGCACAAGGTATGGAAGTAATAGTACCAAGTTGCTTTCCCCAAAAGAGAAACCCAAATCCCCAAACTGGTTTTGTGAGCTGTCCTGATTAGCTACGCAGGCTTTCTGCTATCTTTTTTGCAGGACACCTTTTTGTCATTGGCATAAGCAAAACATAGTTCTCAAAAGTCTCCAGAGACAGGCAAACATTATTCAAACAATAACACATCTTAACTATGTGGGTAACTGGGTTACCAATCTCCCAGAACACTTACATGACCAATTCTTTCCAGCAACAACTGACATAAAATTGATGATCAAGGTATAAATCCACATGAACATGTACACTGCCTTAAGCATTCACAGAAATCTCTTTGAGGAACCTCAGAACTGTGCTTGCTTCAAATGAAGATGGAGTCAGTCATGTGACACTAGGTTTTATGCATAAAGAAACAACTAAGAGCATCTTTTACAACCCTAACACCACCACTCAATGCAAGCTCTAATTGATGGAAGTAAGCCTACGACAACAGTTATCAGCGTATTGGTTAGTCTTTGATGTGTTTTGCTGGTGGGCGTGGTATGCAGTATTTCAAGTTACGTTTAAAACCAGACTAACAATGGAAAACCCAGCAGTTTTCTTGAATGCTGCAAAGAGAAAAGAGGCGTTAATGATAGCTTTCTGCCAAAACTGGGAAAATACTTACAGCGCTGGTATGTGTTGTTCTACTTATCTTCTCTTCCCACAGAGAAGGAGTGCTCTGTCCCCACCCACAAGGGCTCAGGAAAGCAAAATACTGTCAGTCATCCCAGCCACAAACAGATCCGCTCCACCCTCTTCTCAAATCAGATGCTTTCCAAGTGACAGCTTGTAGTAACAGCCTGTTTTCTCACCTTCTACGTCAGACTGTATTTAGGTAAGAGGTTTATTAATAATAATTCCTTCTACTTTGTCATTTTTGGCAGAATGATGCTTCTCTTTACACAGGCTTCTTACTTGATAAATTCTTAAAAGTAGCGTGCAAAAATAGTTTTTAAAAAATCTTCTTTAAACCAAGTGAGGCAGTATTTAAAGGCACAGTAAGCATTGAGTTTGAGAGATAAAAGTCAAAGAGAGACAACATCCAGACTGGATTAATACTAACATGGAATGCAACATTTATCAGGTTCTAGTCAATGAATAATCTAGTTTCCTTTGACGGAACTAGAAGTGTCCGTCCCTCCCTGTTTTGCGATACTGTCGCTGTAGTCCATTTGGTAGCCCTTTAACCTTTTGTTAAAAACAAGAGAAACATCTAAATTTAAAAAGACTATTGATGAAATTTCTACATAAAGCAAAGGAAAACTCTGTATGATTTTGTCTGTCAAATTTGCAACTAATTACAGGTAGGTTCATATACTTACATACCAGCTGCAGGACCGACTCCTGGGTTTGCCTAAGCTTTAAAAGAAATCTTTAGAGAAAAAAGGTAATACGTTGAAAGCATCTGAAAATGCGCAGCAAGGTGAACTTTACTGTACATAACCACCTTGTGACAGCATATTACAAGGGGGTCAGTAGAACCCTGTATGGTATTTACAAAAATCGATTTCCCAAGCTCTCTTCTGCTGCATCCCACAGCTTTAATTTCAAATTGAAATTTGACACTACATTCATAATACATACATGACATGTGCGAGACTTGACCAATGTGACACGTCAGATTTGATGCCATGCAACGTGTCACAGGTATGTCACACGTATGTCAGTTGACACACATCACTCGCGGCATCTATGTGTGCATTGGTCTGGCAGGTGTGTCTGCTCTTGTGCACACATATATAGAGAGAATACAGGTGCAGATCCCCACATGTGCATACGTGTATGCATATGTTCTGAGCAGTGGAGCTCAGTCCTTCCCAAGCAGGGAGAGGAGAGGCTGAGCTCTCAGATGGATGCTGTTAGTGCTGTTCATGCCCACATGCCTGTCTCTGCTCCCTGCGAGCAGCCGCGTGTGTACGATGTATGTGTGCCCTGTGTGCATGTACCTGTCGGCAATGAATCTTCAGCCTCATTACTGGAGCCGCAGCTCCCTTGCCTCTCAAGCTTGCAGAGCCACACATTTTGGAATTATCAAAATAGCTGAGGAAAAACCTGGATAGAACACCTATGCGCTTACATTTCCTAGTCCAGTGCATTCTGCATATGCCGTTACTTAAGCAAAGAACAAGCCAGATACGAGAACTTGATCCATACTGTTGTCATCCACTCATTTCTCAAGGATACAGCTTTTCACAACAGAACCTCTCTCCTCTTCAGAAGGAGCCTAAGTTCACCTTGGTGACTGTGTCTCAGCAAAAGTCTAAGCCCATACAGAAAAACAGTCCATCCAGAAGTGTGTAAGAAGCTAACACATTGTCCAGGAAACGGACTGAAGTTTTAACACACCGTGCTCTAACCTGGAACACGCTGGCCATTCTCAAGCACTCTTAGAAAGGAAACGTTAAACAGAGGAAACATTCAACAGAGCAAACGTTGTGTGGAGCATGTGCCACAAAGACAACAAAACACCACCACACCACTCCCACCAGGTTAACAGAGAGTAACAAAGAACAAAATAGCGGAATAGCAAAAAACTCTGTCAGTGAGTCTCAACAACTTGAAAATCAACATGAGATTGTCTCCAGTAAAGGCCCCACATACTAGTTGGAAAAATGGATTAAGGGAAAAAAAGATATGCCCAAAGGTTATTGTATTAGCATCCATTTACAGGAAGAAGCTGAAGCATGACTGCAGCACTATGCTGTTACTGATGCACGAAAACACTACATAACCTGGCAGCTTCCCACACCTGTACAATACACAAAACCCAAGGAACATATTAAAGTGTACTACCCAGCTGAAGTACGCTGACATTTCGCACCACAACACAAAACCCAAGTATGTTACTTAACAACATCCTCCTCAACATTATGCTCATGTGACCATATCCTTAGCATAACTTACAAGGAAGCTGCTTCCCCTCAGCAGGCAACACCATTCAGATTTTTACGTGTGCAGGTAACTTTGCGATGGCTCCTCAGTACACTGATAAAGTACTCCGTGAGTGGAGGAGTCCAACTACCCTACAAGGACTAAGATGTGACAGTTTTGGGGGCAGCCCACAAAAGTCAAAGGAAACTCTGTTCTGGTGACTTTTGTACTACATCATTCTATTTCATTATTTACAGCTCTGACACCTTTAAAATGCTTGACATCCACTACCTAAAGTGGTGATGGCTACAAAACAGCTGACTAACAGCTCAGTAATTCAGAAGTTTCACATTTTGAAGTACACAGATTTGTTTTTTAACCCTTCTACCATAAACAATAAACAGTAAACTACAATCCACTTGGCAAATCAATGCTAAATAAGTATCTTAAAATGACTGGTGAAGAATGCCTACAGATAGAGCACAGACTGTCAATTTTTGTTTCTGAAAGTGAGTCTCACATTAGTATACTTTTATTGGTTTTGGGTTTTTTTTTTTCCTTAAAGGCAATTATGAAAAAGGCAGGGAGAAAGAAATCAATACAGAGCAATCCTGAAACTAACAGGAAAAAACATCTTAATAACTCCACAGGGTGGGTGAAGTGAGGGTGAGGGAACAGAAATGAGGTGACACCGGGGGGCAAAACCAAACAGTCTTGCAAAGCTGTTAAGATACCTCTACCTATAAGAGCACATCAACCTTTGGAAAAAACTAAACTGTTACAGACTGTTTAATAACTGCACTGAAACTGATAAGCAGCTCTAGAATTATTTTCTTGCTACAAATATGAACCCTACAGTTCAACATTTGACTAATCAGAGTTAAATTTTGCTGATACCAACCATCCAAACTGATTTCACATACGATACGCCTCACAGTCAGTCACTAAACTGTTCAATATGTGCAGGCTTCACGATCCAGGATCCATAATTATGTTGTTCCAAGTGGCTTTGCAGCAGGCTTTTAGCTTCTTGGTATAGTTCAGATTGAATCTATAAAAAAACAAAAAGAAAGACCAGGAAAGATGTCAAGAATGATGGTTACAGAGACCTGTTTCCTTTACCACCAGCATGTAATAGGCTCAAGCATACACCTTGTGGAAAACAAGACCTACAAGCCTCACACTTTCCTCGGTTGCTGACAGAGGAGAAAGTGTTACAGAGTATGAAAACATACTCTTTTTATACATCTGGGCATTTATTGGGATGACAGAATTCTTTTTCAGCATCTTTTCAGTTCCAGTAATATCTTCACACAGAAAATACAGACTCGCTGTCATTCAATGCAACCAACAGTCAATTTAGCAAGCCATTCCATTTCAAAGAAGTTTTTGAATCACTGGGGGGGAACACAAAAAAAAACCACCCCACCACACCACCAACCTCTTGCATA